AATGTAATATGTTTAATTTTGTCTACTAATTCATAAGTGTTTTTTATAGAGTATTTAGCAGAAAATAGAGTATGATTCAAAATAATATTAATTAAGGTTTTAGAAATTTTATAAGAAGGGGCTGAAAAGAAAGAAACAACAGGTCTGATAGGGTTACCTATTTTATGAAGTTTTATTAATGAATAAAGTTTTGGAGCTTGAGGGTTCATAAGTAATAATCTCCATTTGTCTTTATCTATAAACAAACTTTTACAATTTTGTATTATTGATTTAATTGAATTTTGAAAACTATTAGTAGGATCTGTATTTGATAAAGTATAATTTACAGGTTTTAAAAAGTCTATAGTTTTTTGTATATAATCAGTTTTACTTATAGCTATAACAGTATTTCCTTTATCTACTTTTGTAAAAGTAATGTCTTTCGATTTTGATTTAATGTGTTGTATTACAGAAAATTCTAGTTTTTGTTTATTATCATTTAAAGATTCATTTTTTATGAGATTCGAAGCAAGGTGTTTTAGGTTTAAATTATTTGAGTTATCTTTAAGTGCTATTTCAGTTTCAACTCCTAAAATCTCCTAAATTTTCCATATTTCATAAACCTACTCATACTGATACAGTTATACACAATACATCTTGTCATCCTATCCAACACAAATTAGCTGCTTTTAACAGTATGATACACCGATTAATAACACTTCCTATAAATAGTATTAATTTCCAAAAAGAATTAAACCTAATTAAACAAATTGCTATCAATAATGGCTATTCTTCTAAATTAATAGATGATATTTTAAACAAAAAACTATACAAAAATGCCATTAATTTAGTATACCCTAAAAAATTACAAAATAATAATAATTTCAAAAGTATTACTTTCCAAGGACAAGCTAGTAAGAAAATTAGCAAATTTCTTAACAAAAACAATATAAATGTTGCTTTCAAAACTAACAATACAATAGGCTTTCACTTGAAAAATGATAAATCTAAAACTAAAATTTGTGATAAATCTGGCGTTTATAAATTATCTTGTAAAGATTGTCCAAAAGTATATATAGGACAAACAGGTAGAAATTTTGTTACTAGAATTAAAGAACATTACAATAGTTTCAATAAAAAGAAAACAGATTCAAATTATGCTAATCACCTGATAGAATCAAATCATAATTTTAATAATGAATTTCAAATACTACATAATGAAAACAAAGGGATAAAATTAAATCTTCTAGAATCTTTAGAAATAAACAAACTTAAAACTTTAGACTGTTTATTGAACGACCAATTAGATTTAAACAATTCACCACTTTTAAATTTATTTACTGTGTAATACCTATTTAAATTAACATAAAATTAGACCAGCTTTTACCTTTTTTATATTTGTCAATTTCACTTTTATGTCTACATTTTATTTTTCTAAAATCTTTCTGATGAAGCTAAAGTTTAGTGAAACATGTTAAAAGTTTAACAAAAAATTGTGGAAATATATAAGTATTAAAATTTACTTAAAAAATCTTTTATTATTAAAAAATTACCCTAAAACACCACAAAATACACGAAAAACAATCTTTAGATGGAAAATGTCACGGTTGTTTGAATTTTTATGGCGCCAATTTCATGGCTCTGGCCGCCATTTTGATTGGATTGCCTACAACACGATAGCCTATCCTCATAAGTTCTGTGTGAAACAAATCCCCCTATGCCAAATCAGCACTTCTGAGGTGAGCAGCATGTTATTTCTCACCCTGTCGTAGGCTTTTTAAACAGCTGAAGACTTGTTATGACGTCGAAATGGTGACACACCAATATGGCGGCGATTACCAGAAAAGAGGCCGAAAAGCAATCCTGTAGGCAAGGATGATACACACTACTACTACAGGATGGCCTATCCTCATAAGGCCTGTGTGTAATAAATCCCCTCCTACCACCCCTAGCCAAACAACCAGTTGTGACGTAAGCAGCATGGCGTTTCTCGCCTTGACGTAGCTGTTTAAACAGCTGACGACTTAGTTATGACGTCGGCAATGGTTGAAAACAGTTTAAAACCAATATGGCGGCGATTACCAAAAACTAGGCCGATAAGCAGTGTGTATTCTCCTTGTCCTGTAGGTGTGTATCATCCAAGGATGATACATACTACTACTACTACTGGATAGCCTATCCTCATAAGGCTTGTGTGAAACAAATCCCCCCTTTCCCCACCTTCCCGCCATCACAAATCACCAGTTGTGACGTAGGCAACATGTTATTCCTCGCCTTGACGTAGGCTGCTTAAACAGCTGAGATTTCAGTTATGACGTCAGAAATGGTGACACACCAATATGGTGGCGATTACCAAAAACGAGGCCGATAAGCAATCCTGTAGGTGTGTATCATCCTTAGGGCGGGTATTTCAAGAGTTTCAAACACTCGAGCTACTCGCTCCGGTGTTTACTCGCCCCCGATTTTCAAAGGAATAGATGCGTGGTGCAACAAACACTTTTCGAAAGGAATAAGCGCTTGAAGCTCCGGAGCTGTTCCGGAGCTCCTCCTAGGTGTGAAAGGAATACAACTTATGTGTATCATGAGTTTTGTATCTGTCTTTTTTTGACAGCATCAGCAAAATTCTCGTAAGCACTTAGGGTGGACTTTCATGCATCCGTTTGTCCGACGAAAGATGTCCGTTTAACATTCTCTTCTGACATAATCGTATAAAAATATGTCAAAATAGAAGATTTTTCGGACATATTTCGTCGGACAAACGGATGCATGAAAATCCACCCTTAAGGGTGGGTATTATAAAACTGCTTTGACAGTTAACTTGAAGTTAACTTTTTGAATTACATGTAATTCCAGAAGTTAACTTTAAGTTAACTCTCAAAGTAGTTTTATAATACCCGCTGCATTGAAACAAGAAATGAAAAGCGACGGTTATAAAAACGAGTTAGGGAGGATTTTCATGCATCCGTTTTTCTGTCGAAATATGTCCGTTTAACATTCTATTTTGACATATTTATATACGATTATGTCAGAATAGAATGTCAAACGGACATATTTCGACGGAAAAACGGATGCATGAAAATCCTCCCTTAGAGCTGAAAGAGATCAGTGGCGGAGAGCGGCTAGCAGCTCCATAGTTTGAGCACTTCCTAGACTAGGGCGTTTGTTTGTGTTTTGCAAATGAGATTGAGTGGCATTTGCGAACGAAGTCGAAGTGCATATTATCCGAGACAGTATTTAGGTTTGTTTGTTTGTGTCGCACTAACTTTGAACTGTAATATTTCAGATTATGACAGATATAATCCATAAACGTTCGTCAGTTCATTGCCATATTTACAAACGAACGCCCCAAAGCAGGAACTGCTGCTCCGAACAACACAAACAAACAGACCTTTTAACCTTTTATTTCATGTTCGAACCTGCACTTGCTTCGAAAAGGAGTTCTCGGACAAAATAATTTGGCGCCAATTTTCATCCGAATAAAGTAGGTGGGTTCGGGATGACTGTTCTATAAACTCCAAGTGCAGTAAACTAGTAAACACTCCCAAGTGCGGGAATCAAAAGAGGGGGCATGCGTAGTGTGTTCGTTTTCGTGATTTGGTGCAATCTATCCTTTCCTATTTTTTTTTGTTCGTTCGACTAAGCGACAGACGAACAATTGAATCAATATTTCATCTGTCATTGGGCTGGTTAAAGGATGGAATGGATTTCAAACTAAACTACTTATTTTGATATGCGAGCATCAGTAATTTCCCTGAAATTTTCAATCTTGATTTCATATGATCATCTTCTTCTCTCTGAAACTTAACAAAATTAAATATATAGACACCAAAGTTCATCTTATTTTTGTATTTGAAGAAATAGAAAAACGTAGGTTAACTTGTGCCCGTTCGGCTTCACTAATCTACTCCAAAAGCACTTTGGTTACGTGATAAAACACCACTCCAACTCTACTTCAGCTTCGCTCGGCCATCCCGAACCCAGCTTATGAAGTCTGGCCGTGTGTTCGGTATTTTGATCTGAGTTCTCCGAGCTTGAATTTATCGTTCGTTTATTCAGGAAGTCTGCTCGGTTCAGGCTCAATCCCTTTCGTTTATTAAAATTTCGAGCGCTCTGATCATCACTGACGTAGCGTTTAACTGCTCTGTGCGCTCGCTGGTCACGTGATTACGGCTCATCTGCTTCAGCAAGCAAATACCGAATGCAAGGTGAATAAAGTGAACTCCAAAAGTGCATCAATATCAGTTCACTTATATCCGACGTTTACTATAAACGGTGAAAAATTACATCATTGCTCTTAAATATGGGTATTTGGAAAAGCGTTTGTTATAACCGAGTGTTCATTTTAAAGGGGTTTGCTATGTCCGAAATCCACTGTATTTTTAACATTCTCTCCGACGTCGTTTACAGTTAAATTTATTTTAATTTTTGTCTGATTGTTTGGCTTCTTGATATCCCAATTTCAATATTTGGTGGTAATTAATTGGGCAGATCTGATTCAGTGTCAGTGCAATGTGAGTGCCGCACTGGTTTGGCCAATGGAAAACACCATGAATATTTGCGGAGTGTATCCGGAGTAGGGCATATTCAAACACTTTTTCATTTATTAATTAGAAATTTCGATTTGGTTAATTATCCGATAATTCACTTCAAAAACTTGTTCCATTTTGAAATAGCAAAATAACGAATTGTCCTAACCTTCGAAATAAAAACGCACCACAAAAAATTGTGTATTTTATTGGGACCGGGACTGCACTAGAGCATATTTTTGACTGGACTGGTTTAGTGCCAGTGCAATCGTGCAGAACTGGTTTGGCCAATGAAAACCATCATATCAGTCACTATTGTCAATTGTCAATATTATTAATTGTCATTTTAAATTTTTCAGTTACGAAAGGAGATGCATCAGGTGGCGTCATTTACCTTTTTATTCGTTTTCGGTAAACCGTCGTTCTTCTAGTTTTAAAGGGGAGTCAGTTGAGTGTTGAGTATTTGAGAGGGAGGGAGTTGTTATACGAGGCTGGCTGGACTTCAGAAAACGTTTTGTTGTTTCATGTCAAGGGGTACATTCAGCAGAGCAGCGACAATAGCGGCCTCATTCCATTAACGTTGGGTTGTTTCCTGTTGTAGGTACCCCTTTGTAAGATCTCCAGTGGTTTAATAATTTTTTTCGCGAGACTGAAAGATGTCTGTGAATTCAGCATTGTGTCATGGCACCGTCTCGCCTGAGGTGACTGATTCTGATTTGGAAGAAGAATATTCCGATGCTTTTGCTAATGCTACCCCGAGTGCTGCCCCTATTTCTCCATATCGTAAGTGAAGCGTTTTTATTCACTATAATTAAAAGTTGCAATTTTTATAAAATATATGTTGCAGTGGCTAAGGCCGTTTTACAGCTTGCAATTCCTTCTGCAATATGCAAGAAACTTGAACGAAGGCATGCGCAGAAGTGAGTCAGCTGATTGGTTTCTGCAAGATTCTTGAAACTTGAATGGCATTGCATGCAATCGGTTTGGTGCCATTTTTCTTGAAGGTTTTCGTGCAAGCTGGGGAATTTTTAGCAATTATGATGTTTAAAGTTGCTGCTATTACTTTCTTCTTTTTATATCGACTTAAAATCACTTTTTTTATTTTTGGAAAATGCAAACATCAACAACACAACATTAAAAACAAAAAAGTATGGTTAAGGTTAGAGAAAGAAACAAGTCAAATTGCAAGGTGTAAAACGACGTGCAAGAAATCTTGAAGGCAATTTTTTTGCATGCAAAAAATTGCATTCAAGTTTTCTTGCAAGCTGTAAAACGGCCTTTAGGGAGCAGGCCGAGCAGGGCCATGCATCCAAATTGTTTGGGCGGGAGTGTTCCCAATAAATGCCATATTATATTAGGTCTGTTTCTGCAGAAATCACAAACCAGTCAGAGCGAATTTTATTGGTTGAAAACAGTCAGAAAACTAGTTTCAACCAATGAAATTCAATCTGACTGGTTTGTGATTTCTGCAGAAACAGACCTATCACTTTGCAAGTTTTAGTTTAAAGGTGGAATAACTACTCTACAGCCTACCAAAATTTATTGAATTGCTAATTGCTCACTTTTCTTTGATTCTAGCTCTTCAAATATGTATAGGGTCTGTCCTTATGCCGGTTTTCCACTAAATGAACTGTTGAGTTTTTGTTTTAAAACAAAAACAAAACTGGAATAAACACAAAACTCTTGTTCCCATCAAGCGGACTACGTTTTATTTTCTCGTGGAAACAAAACTCCAACTGTCTCAAAACAAGCTAGTCTTGAAAATGTTTGGGAAAAGTTTGAGTTTGGGTTGTGTTTTTGTTTTGTCTGTTTGGTGGTAAACCGGCATTATAATTAGTGCAGCTTCTAGTCCTGAAACTGATAAAGAATTAGAAAAAAAGATAAATACAAAAGTTGTAGGATTTTATCTCTATTATCTTTTGCACATGTCGAAACGGATAAATGATAGATCCCAACTGTCATAATGGCAAACACTTTTTCAAATGGAACATCCTGTATATTTTTGGCTCGAATGATTATTTTTTTTCTTCTGATTCCAAATAAACCACACCTATGTTGATATTTGGTTCAGCTGTTTTTACGCTATTTAATTTTAAAATTGCATTAAGTACTTAAGCCTCACCATTGATATAGGAAATCGAGAACAGGCCTAATTTAGAGTAATTAATGTCCTTAATCACACATTCTATCCTAAAATATACAAGGTGTTTCATTTAAAAATAAAAATGCAAGTTTTTGTCATTATGACAGTTGGCGCGTGAGAAGATCCATAAAATATGTACACCTCCTGCCTTAAACGCAATTATGCAAGTTCTGTCAGGTCCTGCTCAGTCCTACCCTTGGTCCTACCAGTACCAAGTCCTGTCAGGTCCTGCCGAGTCTTGTCAAGTTCTGCAAAGTCCGGTCAGGTCCTGCAAAGTCATGTCAGGTACTGTGAAGTCCTGTCCTGTCAGTGTCTCATCCTGTATCACCACTAAAAGCAAAAAAAAAAACACAGATCTGAATAAACATCGTTTATTTTACACAAAATCACATTTTGTCCACCATTGTGCAGAATGAAAAAGTAAATAGGTAAATGAAGAAGTCGAAAATTAAATGACAGGAGCACCCCCACCAACGAAATTTTGAAAAATCAATCTGTGGTTTGTTTGCCCATGTAGGCCCACCCAATGACTTTTTTGCCCACCCCTCAAAAAAAGTTATTGAAAAAATAAAATGCTGGCAATATTTTTTTCCACCACCCCCAAATTTGAATATGATCAATCTAAAATAACAGTTCATTTGCCCATCGATTGCACATGTTTGCCCAACCAATAACTTTGTTTGCTCACCCTCGAAAAAAAAGTTATTGGAAAAATAAAATTTTGTTTTTTTTTTCCAGCACCCCCAAATTTGAAAATCAACAATCTAAAATAACAGTTCGTTTGCCCATCGATTACCCATGTTTGCCCACTGAATAACCTCGTTTCCCCACCCTCCAAAAAAAAGTTATTGGGTGGGCCTAAATGAGCATTCGATAGGGAGGCAAACGAACTATGATTTTGTGTTGTTTAATTTTCAAATATGGGAGGGAGTGCTGAAAAAAACATTCAAAATGTTATTTTTTCAATAACTTTTTTCTGAGCTTTTTTCTGGAGGGTTGGCAAAAGAGAATATTGGAAGGGCCTACATGGGCAAACGATCTGTGAGTTTAGATTGGTCATTTATTTTCAAATATGGGAGTGCTGAAAAAAAAATTGTCAGAATTTTATTTTTTCATTAACTTTTTTTTGGAGGGTGGGCAAACAAAGTTATCTAGTGGGCAAACATGGGCAAACGAACTGTTATTTTTAATTGTTGATTTTCAAATTTGGGGGTGCTGGAAGAAAAAAAATCAAAATTTTATTTTTCCTATAACTTTTTTTTTGGAGGGTGGGCCAATAAAGGTATTGGGTGGATCAACATGGGCAATCGATGGGCAAATGAACTGTTATTTTAGATTGTTCATTTTCAAATTTGGGGGTGGTAGAAAAAAAATATTCCCAAATTTTTTTTTTCTTTGGGGTGGGCAAAAAAAGTTATTGGGTGGGCCTACATGGGCATACGATGGGCAAACGAACCATGTATTGATTTTTCGAAATTTTGTTGGTGGGGGTGCCTCCCCCCGTCACAGAGCTCTAAAACTTTTTGAATAGGAAAAAAAGAAAATCCGTAACCAAGCAGCGAATGAGCGATACCTGGATAATAATATTACTGTAACAAAATTACACCTTTTTCAAATGTAACGCAAAAAATCTCATTTGTAATTCAGATTTTTCAAATGTAATTTAGAAAATCTGACTTGTAATTCAGATTTTACAAATGTAATTAAGAAAATATCACTTGTAATTCAGATTTTTCAAATGTAATTCAGAAAATCTCATTTGTAATTCAGAAATTCTCAACTAAAATTCAGAAAACCCCATTTGTAATTCAGATTTCTCAAATGATATATTTCAAAAAATCTCATTTGTAATTCAGAGAATTTGGTTGGTTTGTTAAAATGTATAGAACCTGGTATAGAACAATGTAATTAAACATCCCTTTGTTCACAGTTCAGAAACCCTGTAGCCGAGCCTGTAGCTATCTATGTATGTACCATGTACAGCTTTCTGCCTATATTTAATTTACATGGTTTTTAAATTATCTGAGATTTACAATTGTGATTTTCTGAATTACAAATGAAATTTTCTGAATTACATTTAAAAAATCTGAATTACCTACAAGTGAATTTTTCTGAATGACACTTCAAAAATCTGAATTACCTAGATTTGGAATAACTATCTGAATTAAAATTAAGATTTTCTGAAATTCATTTGTGTTTTTCTGAACTACAATTGAAAAGGATGTAGACGCAAAATGTATATGCGGAAAACCATTAAATATGATTTCTGGCAAGTCCTGTCAGGTCCTGCCATGTCCTGTATGGGTCCTGCAAGGTCCTGTCAAGTCTTGCAAGGTCCTGTCAAGTCAAACAATGTCCTTGTCAAGTCCTGCAGCTAATTTTGCAAACCAGTAAATAACATTTCTGATAACTCCTGTATGGGGTCCTGCCAAGTCCTGTATGGGTCCTGTCAAGTCCTACCAAGTCCTGTATAGGTCCTGCACCTGATTTTGTACCCCTCCTGCTGAATCTGTTTACCCCTCCATCAGCAAAGGAATTGTTCAACCAGGTCTCAGTCAATATGATAAAATCGTAAATGGAAGTTAATGTACTTTGAAAAGTTTTTGAGTTTTTGTCCGAAGGCCTCATAAGGGCCCCATACACTACGATGAAACACGACGGTTTTCATCGCCACGATGAAACACGTTGTTCTAAAACCGAAGTGTGTGATAGAAAAACACGACGGTTTTCTACAGGGCCGCACAGACAACGATGAAACACGACGGTTTTCATCGCCACGATGAAACACATCGTTCCAAAACCGGAGTGTGTGGTAGAAAACTTTCGTGTGTACCAAATGTTGAACTGTCGTGCCAAAAATCAAGCTCGGACTGAATTTTAAACCGACGGTGAAACACGACGGTTTTCTACCACACACTTCGGTTTTGGAACGATGGTTTTCATCGCCGCGATGAAACACGTCGTTCCAAAACCGAAGTGTGTAGTAGAAAAACGTCGTGTTTCATCGTCACACGACGACGTTTTTCTACTACACACTTCGGTTTTGGAACGACGTGTTTCATCGCGGCGATGAAAACCGACGAGAAAGAACGTAGTGTGTGGGGCCCATTATAGATGACTCCGGATCCCTATCAATAGATTCGTTGGCTAAGTTGATTTCTTTGTCTAAAGATTTTGGGAAAAAAGATTGCAGATTGGTTACTTATGTTGGGACGAAAGGACTGAAAATTTTTGATTTCAACATCGATTGGCCATTTCTTTTGGTCTAATGAGGACGTTTCTAAATCGTTGTTGGCCAAAATTTTAAAACATTTGTAATCTCCAGATTTTGAATTGAGTTCCTCAAGTGTGAACTGTTCCTCATTACCAAATGTTAAATATATGGAATGCTGGAATAAGGTTTTCCAGCAGGTCTTTCTTCCCATTCCAGCAAACATAGTACCTAAATAACAAAATTAAACACCTTCATTTTACTGAAGGATTATATGAAAACAACAGATATACACTGAGAACAGTATGTTTAACAGAGACAGACAAAGCGGAGCAATGGCAAAGCAACACGTAATTACGCGACGTAGATCACCCCGTGGCAGCCGTTTTAATTGGTTTGAAAAATATGGTTGATGTTTTGCAATGATCTATACACATTTTAGAAACTTTTATAAAGAATAACTTTTTGTTTGAAAAGCTTGGTTTAGCCAATATTGTAATGTGAATATGAGCGCGAATATCAAAAAAAAAAAAAACTATTTTTTCCAATTTTTTACATGAAAATCCAAGAAAATCGCATTTTTAGTTTTTTTGCGCTGTGCCTAAATACCAAGCTAAATGCTTTTCAAATTTTTTGATATCATATAGGTATCTCATAACTTGTGAAGGGAGTTTTTGGATTATGTGGTCATATTTTAGTACTTGTTACGTTCTATGATGGTGTCAATAGGTATAGGTATCTCGTTTTTTCCTTTAGGAATTCCATTCGATTACTCGGAAAACGAGTCAGAAACGTTAAAGTTGCGAATTATTAAATCCCAGAAACATTATCTTTCAAATACCTTGGTATCAAAACAGATTACTCGTTTAGATGGAACCTACATATTATTGATCTAGTTCAAAAAATAACAGGGCTTCTTCCAAAATTCCGTACCTCAGTCCTGAGCAATTGAGAATCTTGTATATGTCTAATGCAAAGTCATTTGCCATATATGGTATATTTGGGTGGGGAGATGTTTCGAAGATCTATTTGCAAAAACTTAAAATAATACAAAAATGGTTTATGAAGATCATATTCGGCAAAGATAGAACATATCCAACTACTTTTCTCTGAAAGTAAGGCCCGAGGGGTTTTTCACCTTGTTAATCGGTATACAAATCACTGGTTAATATATGTCAGTACCAGGTAAATACTATGTCAATAGTGTCAATACTATGCAATACCTACTTGTTAATTATTTAGGTAATATATGTCAATACTTGTAGATATCTAGGCAATATATGTTAATGTCATTGGTTGATACCCATTAATAACATGTAAATACCTGTGGATATGCCAATACCTAGAATTCTGGCAATACAAATATTTGATTTTAGTCTGTCAATAGCATGGCAATATCTCGTAATATGTGATAATACTAGGGAAATACCTGGCAATATATGGAAATATTTATAGTTGGCAATAACTTGTTATTAGGTACATAGAAATATCTGGTAATACATGGAAATATCTCAGTTAGTACTGTTAATCGGTGTACCAATTTTGTTAGGTGAAAAACCCCTCGGTAAGGCCCTAGATTCGCGACAGCTTCTTAAAGATACCAAAAAATGAAAAATTAGTCCAACCATTAGCCGAAATTCCTCTACAAGAGGCAACACCCTTAGCATATCCGAGAATTAACACAAAAACTCATGGCCAAATAAGTTTAAGTTGCTAAATATGCTTCCAAATGGCATAAAATTAATGGAATGCTCTTAATCTTTTATTGTAGAGGCTAAAAACTGGATATTTTTGGAAGGTAGACAAGGTTTTAATAATCTAATTGATCTGAAATACAGCAAAAAAAATTACTCGAAATCAACTTAAAACCTGGCTGTTACTTATGAATCAAACTGACATTCCTAGCAATGAAACTACAAATCACACACAAGAACTAAGTGTGCTTCAGTTATAATTTTTTTAGGTTTATTATAATATGTTTATGTCTATTTGTAACTATTTTGTTTGGTAAACATTATTATTATTATTATTATTATTATTATTATTATTATTATTATTATTATTATTATTATTATTATTATTATTATCATTATTATTGATTGCCTGATTCAACTGTTCGGTTTCTTTTTTGCGTTTATAGGGAGAAATAGACGTTCATTGAGCGAAGGAAACATACTTTTTTTGGATGATGATAAACGAATGCAGCCTAATCTAAGAGATCGCGCAGACTCTGATGATGAAGCAACTGAATGGCGTCATGAAGATGACTCTATCGTTAAGGATATGAAGGTAAATGTAAAATGGTTTAGGACATCAAGCATGGTAAGCTGTCTGATTTTATAATAGTTTCACACAAATTAATCACTAGAAATCCAGCGGCTTTAAAAACCTCACAATGATCGTTAACGTGTCATTTTGTAACTTATTCTCTTAGCTAGCTCAAAAACTATAACAATAAAATATGTAAGTATTACATTAAGCCTCGCATTAAGCCAATGAGAAAATTTCAACTGATTATCATAGCTTTGTCTAAAAATTTTGAACCACCAAAATCGTACCTAAATGACAAAGTTCTTCTTAGATAAAAAACAAATTTTTGGTCAAAGACTAGGTACTTTCTGGCACTTACCTATAATAAAACTTTTCCCCATGGAAATATAGGCAGAAATTCAATACTTATATTTTGAACTGCAGAATATTATTGTTAGAGCAATGAACCGTTCTACACAATTATATTCCCTATTTTTATATAGTTTCAGTATTCAGGTGATATTTAAGGTGAGACTCTATGAAGCTGTTAGATATAGGAGACATCTTAAGTGTCTAAATAGCATGTGATCACACCTCTTTATTGCTGCTATCATATGATACTGTTTGTTCAATGTCCAAGGATTTTTCTGTGAGTGTGAGGCCTGAAAATATCTTCTTTGTATAGCTCAGAAAACACTCAGTACGTTTGTTTATTCTCTCGAAGTGCGGAGCGTGTGGAACGGAGGTCAGCTGATCATCGGGCAAAACGACTGTGAAATACATTTTGCGGTGCGCACAGATCAAAAAAACGAATGCAACTACTATTACTGTATCAAAATGGAATATTTTCCCCAACGATTTTCTCTTAAGTCCCGCATATTTTAAGTCCTGTACATAAAGAAGATCTGGAAGAGGCCCTAGGACGGAGCCTATGGCAATTCCTAAATTGACATGTTTTCCATTTACCTCCTCCTTGTTGAATATAACTGAAGCAGATCAAAAAATTTTCCTCGAAGCCCCATTTTCTCAAACTTGTTCATCAACAGTGCAGTGGCACGCCAACAGTATCGAGCGGATTTTGAATGCCAATAAAAACAGCGGCCACATCTCGTTCTGCACTAAATTATTTTGAGATCTACAGTTGCTTCAAGTGTGCCACTATTTTTTCAAAAGCCATATTAATTTTCATCAATTTTGAAGTTTTTCCAGTAAACGTCATGAGCCTGGTTTTAATAACTGTTTCTGTGATCTCTAGTTAGGATAGATGTGTGAGTTGTTAATTATTTGCATTGTCATAATATGGGCTTTACGTGTATGATTTTTCCTATTACAAAGCTTCAGAATATTGACTAGTCAGTAAGATGTTGTTAATTATTTTCACAGTTGTTGGTCCAATGATAGCAGATAGTGTGAGAATATCTTTTTTGATATGTTATCTAATCTTGATTTTTTAATTCATCTAGAATCCTGTTAGTTTCTGTTTGTTTGGCGCTGCTTGATGCGTTAGATAGAGACATTCTTCTTTAAAATCTAGGAGTTATTTTTGATGCTAGCTTTCCACCTATTGTTGAAAAATGTTTATTTATTTCTTCTGCTCTGCTTGTTTTGATACTGTAAGGGCCCTTGCGTTTCCATCGTTATCTTTGATTTTCTCTATCGCTTTTGTATTGTTCTTGTTGTTGAGTAATAACCAAGTTTTTCTTCCATCTCCCTGTGATTTCTGTAGCTTTTTTGTTGTCCATGTCATGCATGCAATGTATGCTGTCCATGTTATGCATTTTCTGTTGAATAATTTGAAGCTTATCTCCTCTGTTAATAATGTCGGCTCTCAAGGTCATGTTGAAAATGGCGACAGTGAAATCTTTATCTGGACACGTCAAAAACAGCAAAAAAAAAAGTAATTAGAGTAGTTAAGTGTGCTCTAGAGCGTGTAGAGCAACAGAAGACAAAGAAAAAGTAGGGCTTACAGCTCCAGAAGAAACAAAAAATATAAAGCAATTATCCAGATATCCAACTTCTGTTGAATCCAACCAACCAGTTTAGGGCCGTGGCAGAATCTAAGGAGGGCTAGAGGCTTGTCAACTCAAAAAGCGGCAAGTATTTATGTGTGAGTGGTTGTGATGGGGGAGGGGCGGGGCCTCATAGCATGTGGATAATCTGAATTTCTCTGTACTCAATGGGTTCTTTCTTGCGTTTTTGGGGATAGGGTTCCGAATTTGGTTAAGCTTTAGTGTTTCTCCTTTCCTGTTGAAGTTCTCCGTATGTTTGTGGATTTCTATAGCTTCATGTACAAGACGATTGTGATATCCGGAAGTCGGTGCAAGAAGCTTGACCTCATCAAATAGTATTTCGTGATTCCCTTCTCTAAGCGCATGTTCCGCTACTGCAGATTTTTCCGATTGTCCTATTCTGCAGTATCTTTTGTCCTCGTTGATCCTGGTTCCCATGGATCTTTTTGTTGTTCCTATGTATACCTTACCACATGTGCATGGTACACGATAGACTCCAGCGCTGGACAGTGCTTTCCTCTTATCCTTGGCTGATCTGATTGATTGCTGTATTTTCCTTGTTGGCTTGAAGATCTGTCTGTTACCCGAGAAATGAAAGGCAGATATGAATTAGCCACCACTTAGATGTACTCATAAAGAAATCTGGAGGAAAACTAAGCCACACAGTGTACCGAAAACCCACACACACTAGACAGGTATCTGCATGCACTCTTAAACCACTATCCAAGGCAAAAACGTGGAATTATAACAACGTTAACTGAACGTGTTCGGAACATCTGCGAGCTACAACATCTCGAGCAAGAACTGAATCACCTCAAGTCGGCCTTTCTATCAAATGTATACAATACATCTGAAATCGACAGGGCCATGCGACCCAAAACGGCCACACTACAAAACGTGGATGAACAATCAATGTAGCTAATGCATATCTGCCTTCCATTTCTCGGGTGGCAGACAGGATAGGGAAAGTCTTGAAGAAACACAACATAAAAACTATCTTCAAGCCAACAAGGAAAGCCAGGGATAAGAGGAACCCACTGTCAAGCGCAGGAGTCTATCGTATACCATGCACATGTGGTAAGGTATACATAGGAACAACAAAAATATCCATGGGAACCAGTGGTGGGACTCCGTGCCATGTAGAATTGGACATATCGAAACATATCGCATGCCGCACAGTGTGCCGAGCCGAGTCAGACTAGGACAATCGAAAAATCTGCAGTAGCGGAACATGCGCTTAGTCAAGCGAATCACGAAATACTATTTGGTGAGGTCAAGCTTCTTGCGCCGACTTCCGGATACCACAATCGTCTTGTACGTGAAGCTATAGCGATCCACAAACATACGGAGAACTTCAACAGGAAAGAAGAAACACTAAAGCTTAACCAAATTTGGAACCCGATCCTCAAAAACGCAAGAAAGATCCCATTGTGTACAGAGAAAGATCAGATTATCCAGGTGGTACGAGGCCCCGCCCCTCCCCCACCACAACCACTCACACATAACTACAACTTTCGGGAGCGCGTCAGTCTACGACCAGAATCGGATATGGAAGCACATCTGAAGATGCTAGCGAAACGTCCAGGAAAAAATTCCAACTTACAACGGCCATTAAGCCCGAATGAAAACACTTTATCAACGGTGAGAAATATTTGGAAGAGTATTTTACGGCTTCAGTGAATTTTTGCAGGCAGCATGGTTGATAGAATCTCTACTTATGTTTTTTTGATGTAAGGGGCAGTTTTCATTATTATGTGTATTTTTATCTCTACTGACCTTCAAAAAATTGTCATGATTTGTATAAATTGTGTAAAATTTTATTATTAGTCTAGTTGTACCTATTTTTAATCTTGTGTAAACTTTTTGGATCAGCAGTTTATCTCAAATTAGCACTCTTTGTGATCTGTCTTTATAAATGATTATTATCATTGTATTTATGACGATTACAAAATTTTGATATTATTGACATGAATTTAACCTAACTCTACTTTTCTTTATTTTAATAACGCAACTATTTGTTGCAGCGTCTAGCTCGCCCCAGCCAGTTTATTGCTTCTACGGATAATTTGCAAGGACACACGAAATTTATATCCAATGCTGAGGCAATCTATAAATTTCATAGAGATACACCAAAAAGGTTCCGAAGCCAGCCCAGACTGACAACCTTCCATTCAAATCCGAATTTGGCTCACTTGAAAGTGTAAGAACCATTTTAATACACCATATGTTCGGATTAAAATAATTTTTAGATATATGAAATACCCATATTAACTTATAAATTGGTATTAAGGAGAACCCATGATGCTAATTTTTCCATTAATAAAAATCACATGGAAAATTCAAAGTCTAATAGCAAATTATGTTTTACCATAGTTAGATTATTATATTATTTTCACGGATTCCGGGTCCACTAAAAGTCACTTTTTAAACACTAACAGTTTTTATTGAACAAACTAACTTATACAAACTTACTTATCGCTTATTTCAAACTGTATACATATATAAAAAATCTTATATTTAAACTGACTCCAATAACACTATTATTTAAATTGATTATTACTTGGTGATATTTATTAATTTTCATCTAGAAGTATTTTTGTTTATTCAAATAAAATTTCTAGAATGGACGCGCTCTAGACTTAAGCAACTGGATTCTTAGAATCTGGCCAACTTTTCAATGCAATTTTGCAATCGCTAGGCACATAAATTAAACAATCACAATATGAGGCTCATGTAGGTATAAGTATATTGAACTGATACACAAGAATAGATTATTATTAAAAAGATTGGATGTAACGGTTGAGCTGAAGGTTTCCCAAATGGTTCTCACAGAATTTGAGGGCATTCATTATACAGAAAAAAATCTTCCACAAAAATATAAACAAAGTCGCCTACCTTTCGGAATTCGGATTATCTGGCATTTTTTGCCTTGCGCTCACAGTGCAATCTGCTCTCTAGGGAGAATTTTCGTGAATACCTAAATGAAACTTAATCGGCATTGCAGAATAACCCAAAACAGTTCTGGTCCTATACCACATCTATACAAAACTCGATAAACCTCCTTCCAGTTTAAGACATAATGGTGAGTTGGCAGCTATGGGTCCCCAAGCTGCCGAACTCTTTGCCGAATACTTTGGCTCAGTCTATACTGATCTAGTATTGGATTTCCCAGATTAGCTTTCTCTATCTTTTCACAATTTATTTGAATTCACTATTCTTATCTCTGACATGGAGCTAAATAACATCGACCCAAACAAGGGACCAGGGCTGCTGTTTTGTTTTGTCCAGACCCTTGCATATAAATTACAACAAGTCCCTGAGGCACGACTTCTTCCCTGAGTATTGGTGAGCCAGTTATGTGGTTCCGATTCTTAAAACCGGTGACTCGTCAGATGTGACTAATTATCGCCCAATTTGCATCATCAGTGCAATTCCTATAACCTTTGAGAATATTTTCACATTTTTTTCATCATCTTTAAGCAGCGAAAATCTTCTCACATGCTCTGACTTTCTGACAGGCGCCTTGGAGGGGGGTGAGGAGGATATAGACTGGTATACACTATATACACTGACGTCTGCAAGGCGTTTGACAGAGTCAATCAAATCAAATCAAATAATGCTTTATTGTCGAAGAAAACCTATTGACAAAGCTGACCTTAAACCTAAGAATAACTTAATGATAAAATGAAAAGCCACAAGTCTAGTTTGCTTCAATACTATCATTTTCGTCCTAAAACCCATTATTGAAAAGACAATTAAAATACAAATTTATACACCTGAAGAGCAAACTAAGTAGAGTGTGCAACATAAAAATGTGAAAACAGTCATCTTAAAAATAAAGAAATAAGAAAACATAAAATCAGTGCTTGCAACAAAAACAATTCAAATATATGAAAAGATACAAATGCAAAGAACAGTCATAATTAAAACAAATACATACAGAAAATTAATCTTTAAATATCAAATCATCAAATCAAATCAAAATACGCTCCAATGTAAAAGATACAGATCTTATTTACAAGGCTAAGATTAGAGTATATAAAGATAATTAAAATTAGTCATTTCAATTAAACAATTACGAATTCTTAATACATACAATCCAAAAGGCAAAAGGCAACACATAGTAGAATATTAAAAAAAAAAAAAAAAACAAGAATTCAAAATGTATACAGAACAGACAAACACCTACAGTACATACAGTCACATTATCAAAAGTTTATCAAAAAACATCCGCATAAAACTCCTCAAGGGTATAGTAGACTCTGTCAGCCAATAGCTTTTTTACTGCCTTTTTAAAGCATCTTAAATTATCAACTTTTCTCAAGTCCCGGGGGAAATGATTATACAGCTTTCTAGTCTCATATATGATAGATTTTTTAATCTTTTCGCTGGTCGGGATGGGCAAGCGAAGACTGTCACTATTACGTGTAGTGTAGTTTAAGATTTGAGCAGGTTGCCCATTACTATGTTTGAAAACTATAGCAACTGATTCCAGAATATACAAGCACGCTAGAGTTAGAACACCTGTAGACCTAAATAAAGGACGACAGGAGTCCCGAAATCCAGCACTGCACAGACATCTGATTGCTCGCTTTTGCAAGACAAAAAGGGGTTGAATAACGCTCCAGCTGGAGTTTCCCCAGAAAGCAATGCCATAACGAAGATGAGACTCCATCAGAGAGTGATAGACCATCCTTGCAGCGTCACATCCAACCTCGCGAGCTACAAGTCTAACCGCATAGCATCCAGAGGCAACTTTTTTGTTTACCTGTAGGATATGGGATTGGAATTTTAAATCCTTGTCCACCACTACCCCAAGAAACCTAGCCTCATCACCCTCTCCAGGACTGTGTCACCAATATAAAGATCAGTCATGTCACAACGAAAACTCAGAATGTTAGTTTTCTTGACATTAAACGTTAACTGATTAGCATCAAACCACTCTTTAACCTTTGGAAGGTCAGAGGCAATTTTTTGTTGCAAATGATCGTTATTGTTATCATGCCATATAATCGTGGTATCGTCAGCAAATAATGTGAATTTGCCATCTATTCCTAGTTTAGTTAAGTCTGTAGTAAAAGACGAAATAATGGTGGAGGGATACTACTTTTGGTTGCCACGATAAAATCAAACAACACTAATCGACTAATTAACGTTTAATTAAGCAAACTTACGGGGAACATAATTGTGCGTCTTGATCCCGACATAATCATGGGAGAAGAGGGCGATACCGCCAAAATTAGACAGGAGCATACCTGGCAGTATTGACACATAACGGATGTCACTAACGTCAGATGCCAAGCAACGTTGCCAAACATGCAGAGTAGCAACAAATAGAGGAAACGCGCCAAATTCAAAAATGCTTAAAATTTGACTACAGTTTCGGCCAACCTGACACTAGATCGTCCCGATCTATCATCATAAGAACTAGAATTCTATAGACATCATAAATCAAAAATTTCACAGATACGGTAAACATAATTGGTCATAATAGGTTAAACATGTAATATTCAATAAATGGGCATTATTAATCAACATAGCATAATCAGTGTCATAATAAGTAATAGGTAATATTCATAATGAGGGCATAATAATAAATGGTAACATCATAATCATAATAATGATGAGAACATAATCATAAAAGTACATAATAATCATAATAGGGACATAATAAGGGCATAATCATAATCATAATAAAGACATATTAATCATAATGGGGACATAATAAGGGCATAATCATAATAGAGGCATAATAATCATAATTGAGAACATATTGTACAAAAAATTCAATTTACAACATAAAATTTAGGGCGGGCTAATAACAAAGTTATTCTAACCACAATTTCATGTTGTCTGGACTAGAAACTCCTTGAAAAGGTCTCTGAGTCAACTGAAAATTCTCAACATCTGTTACTAAGTATCGGTCATTGTCAAGTATTTTTTTAATTTCGTAAGGACCTCGAAACTTTGGGATTAATTTTTTGTTAACTCCCGGGGTCACGTCAACATTTTTCAACATAACATAATCGCCTAATTTATATTTATGTGGGGGTCTATGTTTTTTATCAAAGTATTTTTTATTATATTCTTGGACTCTAATATTTTGCTTTTGGGCTTCTGATCTAACTTCTTCTAAATTTCTCTCATAATTTATTTCAGATTCTAAAAAATTTCTGAGATCATCCTGATCTCTCTGATTCACACCGAATAGTAAAATTGAAGGGGTTGTTCCAATAGAACGACAATGAGAATTATTGATTGCGAACTCAACATCTGGGAGAAACTTGGGCCACTGATTCTTTGTTTCCGCAAGCTTCGACAACATAGGGGTTAGGTCTCTATTTATACGCTCTATTTGGCCATTCGACTTTGGGGAACCCGTAGCAATTTTCACATGAGTAACATTATTCTGTGACAAAAAATTCTCAAATTCTAATGACGTAAAGGCAGTTCCTCTGTCAGAAATAATTTTCATCGGACGACTATAATGTTGAAAATATTCCTCCAGCTTATGAACAACTTCGACAGTCTTAGTACTTTTGACAGCATAAAGCTTGACAAATTTAGTGAAGGCATCCACAACTTCAAAAACATATTTTTTCTGGGTGGGGGATTTTTCAAGGGGGCCATAATGGTCTATATGGAGGGTCAAAAAGGGCTTGTCTCCTTTAGGAATATTGTGGAGGACTCCTTCTGACTTCTTGGCAGAATACGAAATGCACTTAATACAATTTTTTACATAACTTTTAACTTTATCTATCAGATTGGGGAACCAATAAACTCTTGAAATATACTCGGCAGTTTTGTCAATGGCTACATGGCCTAGCATGTCATGACAATTGAAAATCACCTTACTTTCCATTGAACAGGGGACATAAAAAAGTGTTTTTGACTTATCTTTAAATTTCCTATAAACGAGGCCATTTCTTAACTCAAAATTTTTGTCATCACAATGAATAAGCTTATCTTTAATAATTTTTATTTCAGGGTCGAGATTTTGGGCGATCGAAAGATTCTGCTCAAAAGTGTTTTCCTCAAGAACTAACACACTATTGGCACGACTTAATGCATCGACATGTTTCATTCGATTGCCTTCGCGATGCTCTAAAGTATAGTTATAATTTTGGAGTACCAAGGCCCATCTGTTTATACGTCGATTGATCTCTTTCTTGTTAAGGGCTAACTTAATTGAATTACAAT